AGCCATCCCCAGGGTCAATTGTATCTTTCCTTGCCCCAGGCAAGTTGGCACAGCCAAGTCTTCAATTCCCTCCAAAAAACTGGGAGGGTCAGGGGGAGAGTATTCCATAGGGCAGGGGCAACGGCAGAGAAAGCTCTCCTCCTAGGACCCGTCAGTCGACATTCTCTCACTGACGGGATCTGCAACATGCCTTCTCTGCCAGACCAGGTGGGACAGGTTGATATCCAGTGGATCAAGTAACAGGACAAATGGCACAAATGGTGGCTGCAAGGGCACAAGCTCTACCTTTTAGCCTTGGTTCTGAGATAAATGGCTGGAACTGGACTTGGGTTGTGGGCTAAAATGAAATTTTTTTGTTTAATTTCCTTTTGAGGTTAATCTGGATAAACTGGGACTTCTTGTCTGCCCTCTGCCCACCTTTAGATTTTCCATTAGCACAAAATGATTACTATTGATAAAAAGCTAATTGTCAGTTAATGACCTGGAAATAATTTTTTTCTGAATCTATAATTCAGCTGAGACAAAAGATTGTCTTCACTGTAGCAAACAGTGTCTTCTCGTGTTTTTCTATCTGTCATCAGTGATTCTGGGAAGAGACTACTGACAGCAGATGAGGGAGGCAGGAACAGGCCTCTCCTTAAAAGACACTGGGGAAAGATCACTAGTTGCCTTCATTCATCCTTCTCTTTTAGCCCAGGTAGCTGGCAGACTATGTCCCTCAAAACAAATGGCTGTTGTGGGTCACTGGTCACGTATTGTCAAATTATGCAGAAGTCATAAGTAACCCAACAATAGCCTGCTTTTAAACCATCTCGCTCTTTCCTGTTCCCATTCATTATATTCCAAATTGCAAATGTAATTACATTCTTAACATTTCAATTAAACAATAACTAAAATGAAATGCAAAAAAAAAATCATACTATGATTTTTTAGATTAAGTCTTGCTTAAGAGAAGTGTTCTTTTTCGTATGTTCTTCCTGGACTGATTGGATTTATTTATGCAACACTATTTTTTAAATAAATAGTGTTATGCACTATACTAATTCAGGATTTGGGAAAAGGCACAGTGCTCCTGCATTCAAGTTCTTAAGCTGCATAAAGGCCATTTAGCACTGCAACTCAACCTATTATCTTCATGAGAAATGGGCTATAAAGTTCCATAAAAGGAAAATAAAAAGTTAAATAAAATAAAAATGAAATATTGAACCTCAGGTCTTGCCATCCAAATGCCAAAAATGTCATAACTGAAATCATTATCCTTGAATTACTACTTCCAATAAAGATTTGGCCTGGCTGGATTCAATATTTTAATTAGTAAATTTCATATAATACACTAAGAATGTTAAAAGGAGACAGATTGAAAAGGAAAGCACATGTATGACAGGCAACAGAACAGAGGAAAGTCTGGAAAAGCCCAATTCCCTTTACTGCCACAAATATAAAGAAAAAGAAATATACAATTATTCAAACATACTTTTAGATACCAGCTGAGTTGGGTCTGTAACATCTGCTTCACTGTACAATACAGTTGGGTCCATAGTATCTTTGTCAGGAGGAGGGTATGGTGGGGGTGGGGGAATCACTAATTGGGGTGGACCACGTGTGTTGCCTCTAGGAGGCTTTTGAGGCACTTGCCGTCCATTACCTATAGGGGAATCAATTGGAATTCACTAGTTACTTTGACCATCAAATCAAATGTCTATTACATTTGCTGTAATGTACACGGCTTTGCAGTAATATACATAATAATCACCTTCTGATTAGTGTTTGGAAATTGCTATTTCAAAGTATTAGCTGTTTGTCAGTTTTAATGTATTTTTCAAGAAAATCTGAAACTCCAAAGCAGGCATAGCCATATCAATAACATAAAGAGTTAGTGTGCCATTTACGATTGCTTACTTGAAATGAAATGTTTGGCTTTGAATCACTTGAAATAATCCATCCTCAATCCCTTTTTAACGTGTATTATTTTCTTACCTCTGCCTGGCCTTTATGATTAGCACACACACAAAATGCAGAAAGAGCCATTCATATAACTACTGTTAAAACTCTCATATAATCTTAGGAATTAATTATAGCTCTTATATAATCTCATTAAAATATTTTCAAAAAGATGTACAAACCAATAAATCACACTTGGTCTCTGTAGACCAAATTTATTTATTCATTTGTTTGTATGCTGCCATGATCACAACACTCTCAGCGGCTAACAAGATATATAAAAGGTGAGACAAATAAAACCCAAACAAAATATGTGGCGTCAGGCCCCAAAAGCTCTCTGGAAAAGCTCTATCTTCAGCTTTTTCCAGAATGCAGACAATATTGGAGACATACAAATCTCTCAACTGGAAGTCCCTCCAGAGAGCAGGCCCCGTCACTGAAAAATTGTGTTTCTGGGCTTTGGCCTCCCAAACTTTCAAAAATGGGGGACAACCAGCTGCTTCTTCTGGCATAAGGTCTCAATGGGTGGTGATGAGGGTGTGAGCCACTGTAGTGAGGTCTTCTCACTATCCTCTGGCCATGGCTTCCACCTGCTAATCAAGCAGGAGCCACAAGTCCAGGGGGACCTGAAGCCCTGGGCCTGCTCCTTCAAGGACTATGCCACCCTGTCCAGAAACAAAACAGTGTGCTTAGAGCCACACTGGTTTACAAACAGTAGCTCCATCTTGCTAGGGTTTAGTTTAAGCCTGCTTTCTCCCATCCAGACCCACATAGCCTCAAGCATAGGGACAAGACTTTGTTGGCATCTCTGGCCCAGCCTGGGGTTACGGTATATAATTGGATATCATCAGCATATTGTTTACCAGACCCCAAGATGTCGGATTACCTCCCCAAGCGGTTTCATGTAGATGATGAATAGCAAGGGGGAAAGCACTGACTCCTGGGATACCCCACAGGAGAGCAACTACAGTGCCAGTCTCTCTCCCTTGACTACCACCTATTGCTATCAACCACTGAGGAAGGAGTGGAACCACTGCAGAACAGTGTCTTCAATTCCTGTAGCTAGTCCAGAAGGGTACCATGGTTGATGATAATGAAGGCTACTGAAAGGTCCAAAAGGACCAGGACAAGTGTACTACCCCCATTCATAGGTCATCAACCAAAGCAACCAAAGCTGTCTATATCCCATTTCTGGGCCTGAACCCTGATTGTAATGGTCCTAATATGACCCTAAAGGTATCACAGAGGGCCTAAAATGCATGACAGATCCTTAAAAAGCTTTATAAAAAAACAGTGATTAGTAACTTGAATTACATACAACTTATATCAAAGATTAAGATTAATAATAATAAAATTTAATAAATAATAATATTCAGATGTCAGGATGTGTCTACATAGTATCAACGAAGTTCAGTATCGTGCAGGCAATGGTTTTCCCTGTGACACTCTATGGAAGCAAAAGTTGGACTTTGGAGAAACAGAATACACAGAATATTGATGCTTTTGAACTCTAGTGTTGGAGAAGGCTCCTGAGAATACCATGGATAGCTAATAAAATAAATCAATCACTGAACAAATCAACTGAGAGTTCTCACTTGAGATACAGATGACCAGGCTTAAATTATCCTACTTCACACACATTAGGCAAAGACCTAGATCTCTGTGATAAGTTTATAATGCTGGGAAAGGTGGAAGGAGAGACTTCCAGGTAAGAAATGGTGAACTGAAGATGGCTCTGCTAAAAGGGAACCAATGACCGTGGTGAAATTAAGAACCAACAAGCAGACTAGCTCTTCGTAATTCCTCTCCAAACAAGGAGAGGACTTGAGATCACCCACAAGTGCTCCAGATAGTTGCTCCTCATGAGGAGACCACAAGACAGTGGTCTCTAGTGGGTTTACAGCTCTGGGAGATGAGGAAAAACCATCTTCGCTCAAACTCTGATCGGCGCCTTTATGGACACAGGGTTCACATACTTCCTTTTCTAATCCCTTTTGAAAATTGCTTGTTAAATGGTTTTCAGCTATTAGGAATCTTTGGAGCAACAAGCTTTATGGCACTGGGTGAGTTTCCTTCAATCCTTAGAGAAAGAGGTTTTAAATACAAGTTTAAGGACTTTAAAAAATTATTTTTTTGGAATAAACAGCAAAAGGGTGATTAGAAAGTTGATTTCAGAAAGTTACAAATGGACTAAGGATCCAGGTGGATTTGAAGATTTTGGAATTAATTATAAGAATCCTCCCCATGGGAAAATGCTGCTGTTTTGAATTCTTAAAAAAAAAAACATGATAGGAAGGGACTTTGGACACTAGAGGGAACCAGAAGAAACTAAAAATTACAATTAAAAGAGAAGAACACTTAAATTCAACTTACTAATATAGAATGGAGCAAAATACTTTAACATTGGATGTATTAAAGGATATTTGTGAACAATGGACCCATGGAAGCTAATTTTAAGAGTGTCTGCCATTATGGATAGACTGAGTTTAAAAGTTGTTATAGAAGAGGAAAAAGTTATACCGGACAAGACAGAGACTGATCTGAAAGTGGATTTTAAAATGACAGGCTACAAGAATGATATGGAAAAAGATG